GACATTGCATCTTCATCCTGCCCTCGATACATGTCGCAGTTCGTGGGCAGACAACGCCACGACGGATGGAAAGTACGAGAGTTACCTGGGCGACCCCATGGACATAGACATCGACTCCCTGAAGTCCAGACTCTTTAGAACACGCGCTGCCGCCATTCCGGGCCCTTCCAATTTCCCAGGTCCTGGCCCTGACCCAGGCGGCGCAGCGTTCGCTGCTTCCCCGACCCAGGAACGGATCATCCCCGCCCTGCAAGCTGATACTGATGACCACCTGGAAGGCGCCGAGAAGGATGAGAACGAGGCTGCGCTCATAGCTACGGCCGAGCAGATCCTGGCCGAGCAGCGCGGCTCGGCCTCAGCCCACCATTTACGCCAGAACATTTCGGCGGGTGATCTTGCAGAGCAGATGACTGGAGAGGGATTGGAATTGCTCGCCGCCGATCTTGCCGCCGATCGCGCTCATTTCATCCCAGATCGTGCTCTTCGTGATCTCGGTCGTTCTTTGAGTGGCGGTGGAGACGCCCGCGTCCGCATTGCGACTCCCATGCGGGGCGGCGCCGGTGAAATGCAGACCACGAAGCGCCACTACAATTGTTGCCGCCGTGATCTCTCTGACAACTTCGACGTCGGCACCTGAATTATGCGCCTGGCGTCGTGCCGATGCGGGGGGGCCGGTTCAGCTCATATTCAGTTCGTTGCTGGCGTTCATCAGCGAATCCGGAATATTCTGAGCGCGCGCGTGTAAACTGGATCTTCCGCGAGGATGTTGACATTCGTTTCCTCGGCGCGCGCTCCAACGAAGCGGGGGGGATAAACTTCCGCAAGCAATGAGCAACATCAGATAATTGCTATGCCAAGTATATCGACGCTGGCTCACCTACCGCGAGAGTGCGCAGGCTGTCCGGCGCGATCAATGAGAACGCCTTCGGCGAGACTAGCATCTCATGCAAACCGCGTGTCAATATCATGCGCAGGCGCCAAACACGCCGGGTCTTCTACGAACAAATGACCAGCGAGAGACCAGCCAGCGGGAAGAGAGCATTCACGCTCGCAGATACGCAGCGTGCTGCGGAGATTCGCGCCGACAGCGTGGGCCAGGGTTACGCCGGCCGTCTAAGGCAAGCCCCTGGGGCACTCAGCCGTGAGGGGCGTTCCAAGCGCGGGCCCGCGACCTTCTCCGCTCCTTCTGGGAAGAGAGGACAGGGCCTCATGAATCGCGTTGCGCTTGCGTAGTTCCACGGGCAGGCCCCCAGAGGTGCCGAGCAGGGCAAAGGGGGTGCAGGTCTTTCCTCTTTCGCCGACCCACATCGCGCCCCACCCCCTGCACCTCCGCCCCCGCGCCCCCGCGCCGCGTCGTGCCTTCCGCGAGCGCGGCGTCGCCCGGCGGCCCCGCTCACGGCGCGGGGTGGGCTGGAGACGGCGGCTCTTCCCAGGCTGCCCCACTTGCACCAGGCGCGCGGGGGCCGACGACACCTCCGAGGCGGAGACCGCGGGGTGGGGCGACATCGAGCGCGGCAGCGCGCTCGAATCCAGAGCGCAGCCGCAGCGCCGCGCGCCAGCCCCGCACGCGCGCATGGTGGCGCGAGAGCACTGAGCACTACCAGAGCGACACGTGCCGCCACTGGTCCGCTTACCCGAACAAGTGGATTCACATCGACGAGGACGGTTGTGAATACATTTGGCTTGACCCAAGTAGCACGCGCACGATTGGATGGTTCGATCAGCGTGGTGATCGTCTCTGCGACTAGAATTATTAAAATTTCCAGTGACGCGAAATGGGCGCGAGTGATATTATCGACACTGTAGATTGTCTAACGTACCGCTGCATGAGTGACTCTAGTTCTTATATCTATAGTGGCGTTGATACGGTGCGCAGTTTGGGATCCATGGTACATTGCATACCACATTTGTATATTCTGACATTTTCGAGAACATGAGGTAATCTTTCATGATCTGAAACTCAGGGCATGAACGCCCCCAGGCAGGTTGCCCGCCAACAATCTAATCGAGATTGGAACAAGACGTTTCACTTGCATGGGAGGTCGGAAGCACAGAGTACGACACATGCAAAGCAGAATTCCCAAGACACTTGCGATGAAATGTTCGCCTCGTTCTACTTCGCCTGGATGGCCGTACTTTCTATTTCGAGGGCCCTCACCACACGTGTTTTACGTTACATGGCTGCTCCGTTGTAATCACATGTTCGAGCCTAAGATTGACGGAATTCGGGCCTGGAGGGCCCTGGGATGGGAATAGCTCTGGGCCTGGAGTGCCCTGTGAGTGAATCATCTTCTACTTTGATCGGGTTGTCACAATTCTGGTCCATCGTATTTTGATCGACGCTACTCTGCGCACATGCCAATGCGCGCCGGTGGAAACAGTGCATTATTCCACGCAGCGCTGTTTTCCATTTGCTCTTCTATCTCTCGCTCCTCGGAGTCGCCCAGGAGTGCCGCGGCGCTTTTGGGAGGCGCACCCTGGGCCCGCCAAAGGCGAGTAGACTACCCTCAGAGCTCTGCGTGGCGGGGCTGGCCCCCTTTTTCGTTTCCCTAGCCGATGCGACATGTTTTGGAGGTGCGGTGGTTATGCCGGTGTTGCGAGTGGGCCTCGCACCTCTGTTCCCGAGCCCTGCCATTGTCTCCTGCGGGCTCGAGGCCAGCGCGGAGCAGGGGGGTTTGTGTGTGTGTGTTCGAAGTCCGCTCATATCATCGCTATATCAGTACATACCGCTAACGTATCGGCCCAGGTATTGGTGCACACACCGCGCTGCTTTCCGCGCAACGCCCTGGAAGCAAATAGCGAACCCTTCCTCTATCACCTTTTACCAACGGAGAATATCGTAGGTTCGCGACACTTCGGTCGCAACCCTATACGCACACCTCGCCCCCCCTTGCGGGCACGGAGACGTTCTGTCGGCGGCTACTGGCGGGACCCGCGAAGCGCGGCGGCGGGCGTCCCGCGGGGCGCCGGTTTCTCGCGCGGCGCAGGTTGGGATAGCCCCATATGGCTCCGCGGCGGTAAGGCGGCAACGCAAAACCTTGCGTTGCAAATCCGCTCCGTATCGTTCATTCGATCCCCATCCCTATTTTTCATCCCCTTCGGGACCCCCACCAAGTTACCACCCCCGTTGGGGATGCACTCTTGGAAGCCCGAAGCGACCGACCTATATCCCCATCTAAGGGTATAAAATCGGCCAGTGGTGCCCAGGCCACGCCGCTGGGGATTGTGGGTCGGTTAAACGATACTCATCCGCGAGGTTGGCATCAAATTCGCGTTTGGTATCGACTATCTCGCATGAGCCAGTGTTTGGAAGCTGTGGCCCTTCGGAAAAGTAACTTACGGGCGGGGTCTGGTCTTGTGATTCTGATGCTTGGAGCGGTGTTTGGTGTGTGGAGCGGCGTTTGGTGTGTGAGGCGGTGTTTTGGTCGGTGGGGCGGTGTTCGGCGGGGTTGTGGTTTGGCAGGGTTCCCATCCGTGTCCGTTCGGCGTTTGAGCCCGTCCCCTGAGATACTGGTGCATCCGCATATTCGGGCCAAACGTTGTCGCCCAGGTTCGTGCCCTAGGAGCTTCTCACAAACCGACCCGCCGTGAAAAATGGCGCAAAGGATGGGTATACGGGAAAACGCTGGAATATGGAACACCTTGGGTTCCGGAGGGGCTGTGGTGCCCTGGTTCTACTCATCGGGCGGATGGGCCCAGAAACTGGGCGGTCGGGTGTTCGCCGTCTTCGGCGCCCCAGGTCGGTGGTTACTAAAGGTGCCCTTGGCCTTAGGTGCCCCCAGCTTCGCGCCGCATTTTTGGAGCCCCTGGGGCCCCCTGGGCCTCGTGGGGGGTGCTCTGGAGCCCGTGGGGGCCTCCGCGGAAATCCTGGGGCCACCTCGGGCCAGGGGCTTCTGTCCACGTCCGACGAGGCCCTCCCCGAGAGCTGGGGGGGCCGTTGCCAAGACGGCTCGGGAGGAAGAGCTGGTCCGAGGGAAGGCCCCAGGGTCCGGGGATATCCGTTCCCGGGCGGCGGTCGGCCACGGGGGCCCTCGCCCGGCCTTGGGACCGCACAGCAACCTGCACGCGGTGAGAATCAAGCCTTGGGGAAAGGATCCAAGGATTGCAAAAAAACCAAGGATTGCAAACAAAAAAACAGGATTACAAAAAAACCGAAGGATTGCAAAAAAACTTAGGATTGCAAAAAAACACCCTTCGAAGGATTGCAAAAAAAACAAGGATTGCAACAAAAAACAGGATTATAAAACAAACCGAAGGATTGCAAAAAAACTTAGGATTGCAAAAAAACACCCTTCGAAGGATTGCAAAAAAAAACCAAGGATTGCAAAAAAAACAGGATTACAAAAAAAAACCGAAGGATTGCAAAAAAACCTAGGATTGCAAAACAACACCCTTCGAAGGATTGCAAAACAACCCTGGTTTTTGTTTGCAATCCTGGGTTTTTTTGCAATCCTTCGTTTCGGGGACCCCGTGATCAACTGATCAAGATTCGGGGAACGAAGAATGGCACAAACATGAAAAAACTCGGAGGTCCGCGCGGACTTTTCGGATCCGCGCTGGAGCACCCTCCCTGGCGCGCGGAGCGCGCCAGGGGCGGCGCCGAAGGCGCCGCCAGGAGGCCCCAGCGCGGATCCGAGAAGTCCGCGCGGATCTCCGAGTTTGTTTAATGTTTATGCCATTCTTCATTCCCCTAAAGATATCAAATGTCTAGTGACTGTCTTCAGTACCCTTCTTTGAGAGCAGTTTTATTGTGTTGTTCTGGGCGCCCTGGTGAGCGGGGTAACCGGTTCTTCCTGCTCGTTTGGCGTTTTTTCCCCTTCCTCCTGCTTCCGCTCTCTCTCTCTCTCTCTCTCTCTCCTCCTTTCCTCCCCCTGTATTTCTCATTTGCCCCACATGCCAGAGCTCTTGAGACAGAGTGCTCACGGCCTGGTTCGGCTTGTGAGGTTTGGTTTTGGGCGCAACTTCCGGGCCTCGCATCGGGTTGCGGCTATCGTGAGAAGGTGCTCGCCCCGCAGATCTCCAAAGGCGCCGAGATCCTGGAGGAGCACGTGTCCTCGATTTACGCCAAGCTTCTGGCAAGCAGCAGCGTGACCATCGTGGCTAACGCCCGCATGTCTTCTCTGGAGAAGCAGGCCCCGTGGGTGGGCAACATATCTGTATCCACGGCCTGGCGGACCGGGCTCTTGGGCTGCGACCTCATGGGGCCGCGCCCTTGGATCCACACCGCGAGGGCGTGGATAGAGATGCGTTCACGGCTCGTGAAGGTCGGCTACCTCACCAGTTGCGCAGCGGAGTTGGCTTCGTCTCCCAGCAGTGGCGGCGAAGGGGCGCCCCCTGAACCCTCCGCAGCCGCAGGCAACGAGGGCGAGCCCGGTGAGAAGTCGAAGGACCACAGCGGGGGCGAGCGGGGCAAGGACGACGGGCCCGCGACAGAGGGCGACATCGATGAGTCGGCGAGCGTGTAGGAACAAGTTGTTAGGGGAAGACCTCCGTGAGCGAGCGAGCAACACGAGCAGTCCTGTCGGCTGCTCGGCATGGTGCAGAGGCTTCCCAGGTAGGGTCAGAGTAGATGGGTTCGGAGGATCGCGCCGCATCGCCGACGTATCGCCGATGCGGTTCGATGTGGAGCTCGATTTTCTCCTCGCCGTTGCATCGCCGATGCGGCGCGATCCTTCGACCCCATGTGCTCGGACACCATTTGGGAGGCCCCTAGTCTACCAGCCCTACAGTGGAATATCCAAATGAATGGATATCGGGCTTTTTGGATTCCGTACCTCCTACGCCGTAAATGTTTACGATCGCGGCGTTTTTCCAGAATCGCTGGTAGGTCTTCCACTGTCCCTGGGAGCGTGGCCGAAGTGCGGCTCTGCGGTGCGGATTGTTGTTGTTGTTGGTGTTGTTGTTGTTGCTGTTGCTGTTGTTGTTGCTGTTGCTGGTGGTGTTGGTGTTGTTGTTGATGTTGGTGTTGGCGTTGATGTTGCTGCTATTGTTGTTTTTGCTGTTGCTGTTGCTGTTGCTTTTGTTGAATACCCACTGCGGAAGAATAAGTATTGTTGATCCCCCCCCCCCCGTCCGGTGCACAGTGTATTTCCCGACCATTTTGTGGTGTTGGGTCTTCGTTTTGAAGAGACGGTCCCCGCGTCCCTCCTCCCCCCTATTCCACCTCCTAACCCTCTTCATTCCTCCTTGCGTTTCGCCCACCGGGTACAGCGTTTCGTGGCCCCATACGGAGCTCCACCGAAAGCCCCAGTCGGGGTGCCCACATGCGTCCGCCACACCCAGTACAGCGTTTCGTGGCCCCATAGGGAGCTCCAGCGAAGGCCCCGGTGGGGGTGGCCACATGCTTCCGCCAAACCCAGTACAGCGCGTCGTGGCCCCATAGGGAGCTCCACCTAAGGCCCCAGTGGGGATGGCCACATGCGTCCGCCACACCCAGTATAGCGCTTCGTGGCCCCAGAGGTAGCTCCACCTAAGGCCCCAGTGGGGGTGGCCACATGCGTCCCACACTCAGTACAGCGCTTCGTGGACCCATAGGGAGCTCCACCTAAGGCCCCAGTGGGGGAATGGCCACATGCGCCCGCCACACCCAGTGCAGCGTGGTCCTCCACACCCAGTACAGCGCTTCGTGAACCCATAGGGAGCTCCACCTAAGGTCCCAGTGGGGGTGGCCACATGCGTCCGCCACACCCAGTGCAGCGATCCGTGGCCCCATAGGATGCTCCCCCTCAGGCCCCAGTGGGGGTGGCCACATGCGTCCGCCACACCCAGTATAGCGCTTCGTGGCCCCATGAAAGCTTTACACAATGCCCCAGTGGGGATGGCCACATGAGTTCGTCGCACTCAGTACAGCGCTTCGTGGTCCCAGAAGGAGCTCCACCTAAGGCCCCAGTGGGGGTGGCCACATGCGTCCGCCACAGCCAGCAAGGCGTTTCGTAGCCCCATAGGGAGCTGCACCTAATGTCCCAGTGGGGGTGGCCACATGCGTCCGCCAGACCCAGTACAGCGCCTCCTGGCCCCATGGGGAAGTCCACCTAAGGCCCCAGTGGGGGTGGCCACAAGCTTCCGCCACACCCAGTACAGCGCGTCGTGGCCCCATAGGGAGCTCCAACGGAGGCCCCAGTGGGGGTGCCTGCGCGCGTCCGCCACACCCAGCACAGCGTTCCGTGGTCCCACGTGCAGGTCCAGCATGGAGGTCTCGCGAAGGTCCTCGTGAGACCGCCCGCATGCGTTTCCCCCACTCATTTCGGCACGTCCTTCACGCGTTTCGTGGCCCCATACGGGTTACTCACGACTGCATATGGTTGGGTCCTTCGCCAGGGTAATTTTTCAATTGAAGTGTCCCCACCGGCGCTCGCACCCTGTTTGCTATCAGGGAAAATCTTCCTCCTCAAACTGTGTCCCTGGCCCCCGGTTTACAACAACAACGGCTTCCGCTTGATACGTCTGGTCCCCCGCTCTCGCTTGAGATTTCCTCGCAATTTATTCAAAAATCGCGCTCCCGCTTGAGACTTCCTTGCGATTTACTCAGGCGCCGCGCTCTTGCCATTCATGAATCGCGCGTTCGCTGGGGACCTCCTTTACTTTACTTGGGAATCGCTCTCTCGCTGGAAACTTCCTGGCTACTCACGCAGAACTCACGATCGATCCGCCCGCGCGGCCCGCCCGTCAGGGTCATGCCCTTCGTGCCCCATGCTCGTTCACGCCCTTTGTGCCTCATTGTTGCCCTTCGCGGCCCCTCCCCTTGTGGCCCAAGTCGCTGCCCGTCGTGGCCACGATGCTGCCCTCAGTGGCCCCCTCGCTGCCCTTTGTGGCCCATATATACGCCCTCTGTGGCCCCCAGTCGCTCGTGCCCTCAGTGGCCCCATTGCTGCCCTTCGTGGCCCCAGTGTAGCCCCGTGTGCCCCCCCCGCTGCCCTCAGAAGCCCCCTCGCTGCCCTTTGTGGCCCATCTATGCCCTTCGTGGCCACCAGTCGCTCGTGCCCTCAGTGGCCCCATTGCTGACCTTCGTGGCCACGGCGTAGGCCCTTTGTGGCCCATATATACGCCTGTCGTGGCCCCCAGCCGCGTGTGCCTTCATCGGCCCCATTGCTGCCCTTCGTGGCCCCGCTGCTGCCCTCAGTGGCCCCCTCGCTGCCCTTTGTGGCCCATATATACGCCCTTCGTGGCCCCCAGTCGCTCGTGCCCTCAGTGGCCCCATTGCTGCCCTTCGTGGCCCCAGTGTACCCCCGTGTGCCTCCCCCCGATGCCCTCAGTGGTCCCCTCGCTGCCATTTGTGGCCCATATATGCGCCCTTCGTGGCCCCCAGTCGCTCGTGCCCTCAGTGGCCCCATTGCTGCCCTTCGTGGCCCCAGCTTAGCTTTCTCCCTCTCCCAACAGTCGCGCGCTCTCTCCCTCTCTCTCTTTCCATCTATCTTTTCTCACTTCTCTTGCTCTTTGGGGGACTGCGCCCAATACACGCGGCATGTCAGGAAGATGTACCCCCCAGAGGGGATACGATCGAAGACGAAGAGGGTGGGTACCGGTGGTTCGGGATATACGTGGCGCGGTACGCGCAAGCAGATAAGAGCGAACATTCTCAAGCTGATTGTAGTTGTTGTTGCTATTCTTATTGTTGTGGTTGTTGTTGTTGATGATGTTGTTGCTGTTGCTGTTGTTATTGTTGCTGTTGAGATCCCACTTCTGCTGAACACTCTTCCCCCAATCATCCTGTGGTGTTGGGTCATCGTTTTGATAAGACGGTTCCCGCGTTCCCCCTCTCTCCTCCTCCTCCTCCTCCCCTTCCTCCCCATCCTCTCCCTACTCCCTCCTCCCTGCGTTTCCCCCACCCAGTACAGCGCTTCGTGGCCCCATGGGGAGCTCCACCGGAAGCCCCAGTGGGGGTGCCCGCACGCGTCCGCAACCAGTACACCGCTTCGTGGCCGTATATGGAGCTCCAGCGAAGGCCCTGGCGGGGGTGCCCGCACGCGTGCGCCACAGTCAGCACAGCGCTTCGTGGCCGCATATGGAGCTCCAGCGAAGGTCCCTGCGGGTGTGCCCGCATGCGTCCGCCACAGTCAGCATAGCGCTTCGTGGCCCCATAGGGAACTCCACCGAAAGCTCCACAAGGGGTGCTCGCATGCGTCCGCCACACTCAGTACAGCGCTTCGTGGCCCCATAGGGAGCTCGACCGAATGCCCCAGTGTGGGTGGCCGCATGCGGCCGCAACAGTCAGCACAGCGCTTCGTGGCCCCATGGGGAGCTCCACCGAAGGCCCCAGAGGGGGTGCATGCATGCGTCCGCCACAGTCGGAGCAGCGCCTCGTGGTACTTTTGGGAGCTCCACCGAAGGCCCCAGGGGGTGTGCCCGCATGCGTCCGCCACACCCTGTACAGCGCTTCGTGGCACTATAGCACTATAGGGGACCCCGGCGAATGTCCCAGTGGGTGTGCCCGCATGCGCCGCCACACCCAGTACAGCGCTTCGTGGCCCCATAGGGAGCTCCACCGAAGGTCCTGGTGGGGGGGCCGCATGTGTCCGTCACACCAAGTACACCGCCTTGTGGCCCCATGGGGAGCTCCACCGGAAACCCCAGTGGGGGTGCCCGCACGCGTCCGCCACACCCAGTACAACATTTAGTGGCCCCATAGGGAACTCCACCGCAAGTTCAGTGGGTGTGCCCGCATGCATCCGCCACACCCAGTACAGCGCTTCGTGGCCCCATGGGAGCTTCAGCGAAGGCCCCAGCGGGGGTGCCGGCATGCGTCCACCACAGTCGGAACAGCGCTTCGTGGCCCAACAGGGAGTTCCACTGAAGGCTCCATTGGGGGTGCCCGCGCGCGTCTGCCACACCCAGTACAGCGTTTAGTGATCCCAGATGGAGCTCCAGCGAAGGTCCTGGTGAGACCGCCCGCATGCGTCCCCCCCACCCGGTACAGCGCTTCATGGTCCCACATGGGGAGCTCCACCGAAGGCCCCAATGGCACCGCCCGCATGCGTCTCCACAACCCACTGCAGCGCTTCGTGGCCCCACAGGGAGCTCAACCGAAGGCCCCAGTGGGAACACCCGCATGCGTCCACCCGCATGCGTCCCTCCCACCCATTACCGCACGCCCCATCACGCGTTGCGTGGCCCACCAGAAGGGGCACCCACCACGCGTGTCCTCTCAACTACATATGGTTAGGTCATTCGCCCGGATGATTTGTTGATCCCCCCTCTCCAGTAACCATTGTATGTTTTCATGACAGAGTTTCTCCAGGGGCCCGCACCTTGTTGTTTGCAAGGGAACGTGAGGTGTCATCAAACTGGCTTGTCGACCCCTGGTGTACAGCATCAGCAGCGGCTCCCGCTTGATATCACCTCAGAATGTATTCCCAAATCGTGCTCTCGCGCGGGACGTCCTCACAATTTACACAGCATTCGCGCTCTCGCGTGGGACTCTCTCGCAATGTACTCAGACGCCGCGACCTCGATACTCAAGAATCACGCTCTTGCTTTAGATGTCCCAGCGATGTATTTGGGAATCGCGCTATCGCTCGAGCATTCCTCACGATTCCTTTTTTCCCGTCCTTCCATCCGTCCCCTCTTCCCCTGATTTAGGGGTTGCGCAAACTACGCGCTGCAGGTAAGAAATATACCCCCTAGGGGGTACGGTCGAAGTCGAAGAGGGCGGGCGTCGAGTGTTTGTGATACACATGTTGAATTGCACGCGAACAGGAAAGAGCGAACAGTCCTACAGTGTCATGTAGTTGTTGTTGTTGGTGGTGGTGTTGGTGTTGGTGTTGATGTTGTTGTTGGTGGTAGTGGTGGTGTTGTTTTGTGTGTTGGTGTTGTTGCTGTTGTTGTTGCTGTTGCTGTTGCTGTTGGTGTTGTTGTGGTTGTTGTTGT